CTGCTGCCCTCTTTACTCCCTCCCTTCCAACTTACTGAGGAAATCTCTTGTTCAGATGTTTGCATTTCTGACTTGTGTCAGGAAGGAGCGACAAACGATGTTTAGAACATGTGATTGCTGTGGGGAATGCCAAAGCCATTTTGTGCTATTTCTTACACTTACTGGATCATGTGGCCTTCTTTTGGCTGCTTATAATATTCCTAGTTGAAATTTAAAACTGAAAATTTTCCTGGGTGAGGGATTTTTGTATTAGTCGGATTGAAATATTTGATGGCAGATACTAGTGTAACAAACGAAAAAATAAATCTTTGTGCAATGGTGGTGAATTATTGTCCCTTTCCTCAAAAAAAGTTTTGCAGAAATGAAAATGGTGTCAATAAATAGTGTTAGAGTGATGGTGATTCTAGCTGTGTTGGCATGACTTTCCAGTTCCTTTTTTCCTTCCGAGCATATTTGGAAAATGACTCTGTGTGTTATACGTATGTGTATACACCTTTTTTTTTTTTTTTGAGGGTACTTCCTATATTACTGTATTTCTTGTTTTCAGTGTCATGGCTGGAGAGCAAAGGAAATGTCTATACCGCAGTGAATACTATGCAGTTGAGAAAGGACGTTTGCTTTTTTTTTAAGAAAAAAGTGAAATTAACCTTGACTATGCTTCTAAATGCGTGTGTGAGCCTTTTGCTGTTAAAAATAAATGAGCTTGTGAGATGATGGAGGGTCTCCAGGGAGGTCTACAAGTATCAGGAATGGCCAGTACTGCTTATGTTCTCTCTTGCTAATAACAATAGCATAGAAATAATAACGAATGCTGTGATATTGGGTTTTCTAAAGCTTGTGTTCTTGACACCTGGGGATGCAGGGTGCTCTATGATGGCTTGGTATTTGACTTGCCTCATTAACTTCCTGCTTCTTAGGGGATCAGATTTTACTCGCTTAGACTTGAGATCATGTTAGAATCTGATAACAGGAGGACATAAGTGGTGTTGAGTAGCTGTCTGCCCACTGTTCTTCCCATGGAAGTGACCCTCTATTCCAGCAGAGCCCGCTCTTTAATTTTTTTTTTTTTTCCCTCCCAGCCCAGGCCTTTGCAGACAACTTTGCTGCCATTTGTTTGAGATGAATGCAGGAATGGCTGCTCTGCCAACAATCACAAGTTTAACCATAATTTGCTACTAAATTATGTTAGTAACAAATGTTCAGTGCTCATTGACAGTATTTTTAATGTTTCAGTTGCCAGACTTCAGAATCTTGTGTCAGTGGCCTTAAAGCTTCCTTTGTTTGTGAGAGCACCAGTTTTAACAATGCTTTCTGAAGAACGGAGAGCTCATGTTCTCTGTAGCTGCCCCTATGGTAGATTATGTCACTAGAAGCTTGGGCTGATTCAGTGGAGGATCAGTGGAGTGTAGTCTCCTAGCTGGAAGTTCTGGTCACAGTGCTATTCCACAGAGATAGCCATTGCTGAGCATGAAGTTGGCAGTGATGAGTGGGATTCGCATGTGGGATGTTCTAACTGTTGTGTGCCGGATAAGCGTAGGTGGCAGAACAGTCTCATTCAGTCATCTTTCCCAAGGGCCTCCTAGGAGATAGCTGTGATCTGGATTAAATGCTGAGATAGCACTTGGTTACTGTCTTCCTCAGGAACTCTGTGGTGGAGAAAGGAGTAACTGGTACTGCTGCACAGGTGCAGGCTGCAAATATTTGTTCAGAGTCAATTTAAATTTAGGCATTATTAATTGAGACTAAAGGACTGTAGTCCATTCTGTCTTTTGTTAAATAGAGAATACTGTAAAGCATTAGAACTGTGCAAAACACTTGCCAAAGACACAGAAGGAAACAAAGCAAGTGGTACATACATTTTTCCTTTAAAAAAAGATAGTTTGTTAATTCCTCATAAGGGATAATTGTACTTGGCTGGCTACCAGTAAGATTCCCCCATATGTAGATGAGTTGTTTGTGAATCATTTGAGTCATCATGTAATCTCTGTAGGTAAGAAAGGGTATAAAATATTTTGGGATTTTGAAGTAAGAGTAACTTTAGTGCTTAGACTTGGTTGTTGAGTTGTGCTTCATAAATCCCACAACTGCTGTGCTTTAGGGAGATTCTAGTCAGTTCATGGGTATAGTGTTATTGAAAGTGGTTCATGCTAGTTAGAAATAATAAAAAAAAATTTTAGCTGTTCTAATGGTAGAATTCAAGTAATTTGTCTAAGAAACATGATGCATGTGTGTTAGGTTGTATTTGTATGCTGTATAATGCACCCTCTTGTCTTGATTCCCTTCTTCCAGTCTGATTTCTTACGCTGCTTTAGCATGTAAGAGGAGGCTTTCAGTAGGCTTCCCCCCACCCCTTGCCATGTTAAATAGACATAAAAATTACTTATATGTATTAGTACTGAAGCTTTTTGCTGTGTAAATAGCTATTTATGGCTATTAAAGTTATGTTCAGATTTTCCAGTCTTCCTGGATCACTTATGTGGCAATGTGCTCTCTTTCATCATGCAAGACATCTGACACTTCTGTGTTGTGATCTGACCTTTAGGAGTGAGTGGGGCATGTCTTCCTCCTTTAGCAGGAGGGTGTAAAAGAAGTGAGAATTCATCTTATCCCACATCATAAATATAATGTGTGAGTTGGGGACCTTTATAACCTGAACCTTCTTCACTGGAGAGAGAGGCATGTAGGAAGTCTCTAGCTAGCCTAAACAAAATCTAGTCAGTGCTTTAAGTACATTTAATATTGCTGCTTAACAGAACTGAAGATGCATGTTTGCTGATGTAAATGCTTTGAAGAGCCCTAGTAGACCAGTGTAGAGTAGGTACTACTTAAATAACTTGTGCAGTGCCTTTAAATTGCAAACATAGGTGCAATATAGCACTTAAACGATACTGTAAAAATTAATTTCCAGCAGAAGATAGTGTGAAAGTTTAGATATACTACCTGTGCTGAAAAGCATGTGAATGTGTTAGTGAATAACCCCTGCTTTTAAAATAGTCATCAAATACTTTACAAGCGTCTAACTATGCGTCTTTCTTAATCAATAGGAGGAGACTAAATTGAACAGACTAAGAGACAGAACCACTTTTATACTTGCTATAAAAGCAAGGGACAGTGATTGTCATATTTGATGGAGCATATTTATGGGAAATGCCAGATGGATGCCAACTTTGTTTCTATGCTGTTATTTAATATGCGATTCTACAGTGTCACTTAGTGAAATGTAGTTACTTACATGCACAGACCAAGAAGGTGTTTAAAAAAACAAAAATAAACAAAACCCAAACACCCAAACCTAATCTAGCACCAGCTCTAAACCAATGAATTTTAACTGCATAGAACCCTTACAGGTTTTTATTTTTGAAATTGCATCATCTTAAAATGACCATTTACTTAAAAAAAATAAACCTTAGATAATCATACAATGTTTTAATAAGTGTTTAGTTGTGATGTAGAAGTGGATTTGATTTACAGCTAGATTACAGATGTTAAATTGTTAATTTCAGTTTACCATGGGATTTAAACATTTTGAGGCAAGAAATTAATTTGCTGATGGTTGAGTTGAATAAACTGTCTTGAAACCTCTCTCACTAATAACTCCTGCCTTCTTGTTGAGGTGCTGAACCAGCACCGGTAACTTTAGATGCTCAGATTTGAAAAATTTGCTTAAGCAAATTGCATTCTGTAAAATTAGTTCTCATATGCTAATAGGTTTGTGTATGACTTCTGTTTCTAAAGTACTCGTTATTTCTTGGCAAAATGCTATTGTTTATTTTTATTCCAGCGTTTCAAACATTGAATGTCTTAAATCTGTTTTTAATGAAACTTACACTAAAATGTTACTGCTTAGTGTTCCAATCAGTATCCAGCTTTTAACTAAAAAAACGTGCAAACTTTTTTAATGCAGGATCAGAATTGTTGTCTTACAGGTACAGTGTGAATTCATGTGTAAAGGTGAATTTGCAAGCTAAATGCACAAAAATTTTTTTTTCTCCCATTATGCTTACGCTGAAACTCAAAGAACTAGAAGTATTCTTTAAAAGTGGAGTAGATATTGTTAATATTTTGAACATCAGGTTTGGCATTCACTGTTTTGATGGATAACAATTTAATTTACAGTTAGTGTTCTTGGAATAGTCACTACTAGTCGTCTTAAATTGAATGTCAGTGGTGGGGTTTTTTGGTTGATTTTTTTTTTTCTATTCCTAAACACAATCTGAATCAAGTTTATAATTAAAGCAAAGTAACAAATATAAGCAATAAAGCTAACTCGTATCAGTTGGTTTGTCAGCAATTTGTTAGCCCTGTATTACATTCCTGGGAAGTTCCCCTCAACTGCCTTTTTGGAAACTTTCTTCTCATATACGTAACCACAGAGTTTTCTGTTCTTTGATATCTCATAGTTAGCGTATATTAATTTTTTTTTTAAGATAGCATCGCAAAAATCCAGGCCTGATTGATTTGAGTGTTAAACTAATGCCATTGATTCGCTGGAGTTAGTGTCTCCACTGTTTGCTGTGCGTGGGATGTAGTGTTCTTGTTTCCATTGATCAAAACACTGCTTGATTTTAATTGTGAGCATTTGTGGGCAAAAGCAGTAGTTAGCATTTTTTAAAGAAAGAGCTTGCAAAGAAAGAAAGCTTTTTCTTCTACTGGCACTGTTGCTCAGCAGGATTTTTCTCTGTGCTTGCAGGTTTTGACTGAACTGGGTTTGACAATGTCAGGCTTTGGCAGTACAAATGACTTAAGTTTCTGTTAGCTCTGCTGCAGCAGTCTGTGGCGTGGATGTGAGAATGGTGCCAATCTTTGCTTAAGGCAGAACTGCTGAAGTTTTGAGCTGTTGCATTAGTGATGGAATCTCTGATTTGATAGCACAATAGAAACCTTTATCTTTTTGTTTTTCTTGCTGTTACTTTTATAGTGTTCAGGAGGAGGAACAAGACAGACCTGTGGATGGAAGGGCAAAAAGTAAACTAGAAAAAGATGCTGAGAGAAAACAGGAAGTGTAGGTTAAAACAAGAGAAAAAGGATTTGAACTGGGGAGTTTAACTTAAAGAAATCTAGTTGTTGGGTAGAAGTAGTAAGAACAGGTTGAAGTGAGGGAGGAGTTGGAGGGAAAGAAAACTACAAGAGAGGTCCAAGAATGAGAGACAAAGTGTAGAGGTCCAAGAATGAGAGACAAAGTGTAGAGGCAAAGGTGAACAAGTTTGGGGAAGCAGTTTAGGATTGTTTTTAAAAAAAAGACTAATTATGTTTTCATAAATTTGCATAGAAAGGATCTGAGGGAGTTTGCATGTGTAGTTATAAACATTGATCTTCCGTAAAGCTCAATTATTTGACTTTGCATGCTGAATGTTATTTTGGGATGGACTTACACAGCAGTAACAAAGCGTTTTATGGAGATGGCTCCCAGGTTTAAACTGACAGACTTCTGGTCGTAATGTTAAAAGTGATTGTATAATAACAGATTTCTTCAATACTGACTAAATACTTCTTGCTTCCTCTTTTAGACGGGGCTTGAATCCACCCCACAGAGTGAAGTCAATTTCAATGACTACTTTCACACAACAGGAAATAGAATTTCTGCAGAAACATGGAAATGAAGTAAGTATTATTTGGAGAATATCAAGTATTTTTGGCACTTTAGTATTAAAATTTAAAACACTGTATAAGGAAAACTTGAGGATTTTTTTTTTTTTGTAGCAAAACGTAGACCAAAGTCTCTTGAAGCCAACATCATTTGAAGTGATGCTTCTAAAGAGTTTATTTCACTTAGGTAGCTGATTGTCATAATGTTACATGTTATTGCCCAACACTGACAATCTAGATTCACATTATCAGTGAAAATTGGGTTTTCTTTTGCATAAGACAATATGCATTTGTCATTTTTTCTGCAAGCCCTAGAGACTGACTGCAGCAGTCTTTCCTGAAAGTGTTTTTTACTCTTTAAATAAGTTTTTTACTTTTAGCTGTATTTCTTCAGAGTAGGTGTCAGAAAGTCTTCTAGTAGTTTCAATAGCCTCTTTCTTTAATGAAAGTATATCAATGTTGAAGATTCTTGAAGAAAGGAAGGAAAGGGAGAATTTTTTTTCCTGTAAGGATTGGTATCTAATAAGTCTCTATATGTTTAGAGTGGCTTGGGGTAACTTTGAAGACAAAAAGTTCTAGTGTACTGCCTTTTTGTTCTTTTTAATAGATGAAAACTAAATCTGAGGTAAATGTTGGACTAACTGTATGGGGAGACATAGAGCATGTAAACCCTAGATGTGGCTATTGCTGTCTTCAGTTTGAGAGTGAAGTTTGTATTTTAATACCATACTATAGCACTGAGGATTTTAGAGGCACCTTTTGATTTTGTTTGAATTAGAAAAATTTCTATTTCACTTTGACTGGATCTGTATTCTGTTTTAGTAGAGCTATTCATTGTAGGCTACAGAGTATCTTATCAATGTGTTCTTGTGGAGCTTTGTGAGGGTAAATAGCATCATTAGCTAAAATGCTGATACTTTTTTAAACTTGACTCATTCGTAACTGTCAGATTGAAGAATGAAAATAGAAGCAGCAGTTTCTTTTTCTGTCCTGGTAAATGTGTTATTTGTTGAAATGATTGTTAGCGGATGATTCCTTTAGACAGAGCTGGAACAAGGTCTAAACTCTTCCAGACATTATAAAATACTCTTAATGGCTTTGACTAAGTTTTTTTAAAAATTTTTTTGGCATGTTAAAGCTGTATAACATTGTGTATACATGTGTGTGTATGTGTGTGTGTGTATATATATATCATATTGCTGACTTTTTGCATAGAGATAATAATAAAGAATCTCTTGTGGATTCAGATATAGTATGTTGGAGTCTCTTTCCATAAGATTAGCTTGTAAACTCCAGGTTTGCTTTAAGCTTCACAAGTATAAAGGAAGACGTGTGTATGTGTCCCTCCCTGTCTGCCTTCTTGCATCTGTTTTAATTTCATTTTTTTCACTGAATCTGCAATGGTTAGAGAATGCTACCAGTTTCATTTTTCACTAATCGGAAACCTTAGGTGATCCCTACTCAGTTCATCAGTGTAGTTGTCCTTTTCATTGTACACTTGACTAGTCTGCCAGACATAATGATTTAGTTGATACATAATTTATTATTGAGGTAAGAAAAGTTCACAGATCTCTACAATGCTATACAATGTTTCAAAAGCAGGAGTCTTTCTGTTTGTAGTACTTATTCCTCTAATTAAAGTATTGCAATGATTTGAACGGGCTACCTCATAAATGAAGATGTCCTCCTGGGTTTAGTTTTGGGTTGTTGGATACCAGTGCGTTGCCTTAATGGTAAAGTAAACTGAATAGATACTTGTAACTGCAGATGGTAGACTTAACAGGTGCTCAAATACTGAACAGAAGTGATACTGTTTTAAACACTGTTAGAAGTTTAAAACTTGAACATGTTTTCATTTTGTCATGCTATATGTTACAGTAGTTAAATAAGCGTTTTGCTTTCTGTTGTTGTGGGCTTCGGAATACTTACCTCTGGGTAAGATAAAGTATTGGGCAAATGAAGTTCATCTGACCTCACAAAAACCCTGCTTTGCTTAGCTTGCTCTTCAGCATAGGTGGATCTTGTGTATGTAATAAGAAATGAAGTTTTCTAGGATAAACTTGTTTAAGCATTGAACTATCCAACATTTTATAATTCATAGATTCATAGATTTCTAGGTTGGAAAAGACCTTAGAGATCGAGTCCAACAGTCCCTAATCCCCATTAAACCATATCCCTAAGTAGACCATCCACCCTATTCTTAAACACATCCAGGGATGGGGACTCGACCACCTCCCTGGGCAGCCTAAATAATGTGGGCATGTGAAACAAAGTACAGTCACTGAATGGTTTAGATGTTGTAACACTCAGTTGTTTTAGTTCTGCAGCTATATAATTAAAAAAAAAAAAACTCAACTTTTTGCAATCTAGGATGTTTAACTTCCATTTTTCTGTAGCTTGTCATTCCCACTTTGTCCTCCCAGTCTTTCTCCAACATGGCCAAGGCTTACCACAGAGGCCTTGCGCTGAATAGAAAGGAAAATAGTAAGAAAGCTTCCCTGAGATGAGATAGTTATTAAAATGTTGAGTTGTTTTTGAAGGAAGTAGTTTTCCACTCTCCTTCAAAGAGTATTCATATGGTCAGTGTGTTGTATGAGGTTGAAGTTCTTTTAAAAAAAAATTAAAAAATTCCTAACTTCTGAAATAGTAACTTTTCCTCAGTTGTCACAAATTGCCATCTTTGTGGCACATGTGGGTAAAATATGCAGTTACTGAAAGGCTTCCACAGAGTGACTACTTTGGGAAGAGATTATGCAGAGCACCTTTTCTTCAGGTGAGAGACACCAGCTCCTTCCCTGTACACCTCCAAGGAACATCTGTCTGGCGCAAGTAACTTGAACTTTTTTTTGGATGACTTTTTACTGCTTCAGATACAGATTAAATCTTTTTACTATGTTAGAATACATCTATATTTTAGTATTGCTTGCTCATCTGCAGGTATAAATAGATGTTCAGACTCTAGTTTTGCTAATGTTGGGGTTAGCTTACTTTTGCAGCAAGCGTGGAGACATCTTCAAGCTGATATTCCTCAAGTGCCTTCTGAAGTCCTTTTGAAGGATGAAGGCAATGCTGACTCACTGGGTAGGACTTTCCCCCTCCTCGTTCTCTTCATGAAGAGCAGTGTGAGGTATTTTCACACTGTGTTTTCATGTTAGGAATATTGAGGAGAGAGTGGTATGGAGATGATTCTGTTTGAATATGCATAATTAAATGGTGCTAACGTTGATTAGGCGTCTGATTCAGTAATGCAATGATAGTAGAAAGCGAACTCACTGCAGAAGGTGGAGGTGGTACTCATCTCGTGTTACCATTATAGCTGTGAATAAATATTCAGAAGCATAGTATTATGAGGCAAACCAGTTACATAGTTATTTTTTCTACTACGCTTATCAAAAGTGCCATATGTTTTATAACCTTTCCAAATAGCCTATTCTAATATGCATATGATGGAAGAAAATGATGTGGATGGCTTTATATTTGGAAAATCTGTGTTCATCTGGGAGCAAAGATTATGTTTACCTGGGCTAATGAGTAGAATGCTATGTGGGTGTGCTCAGCTGCTTGGGATTGGTTTATCAGTCCTTAATTTTGTTTTCGTGCCAGTCTTCCTGACTCTTGACAGCACCTGTGTGAGTGTTTCTTACCAGTTTACCTCACTCTAGTTTCCAGGAGAACCTACAATTGCAGAACTAGCAGCAGTATGGGGCTGGTTCAGAGCTGGTGTTTGGCCTGACCATAATGCTTTCCTAGAATCTCCTTTGCTATGGAATGTGGCCTAGAAACACTGGAGTGGAAAGAGCAGTGCTAAACTGGAGCTGATGAGTCCTGACAGCATGAGCTGTGCAGTCAGGTGTCCTTGTAGTACATCCCTGGTTCTGCTAATACGATATAGAGATACATGAGCTGATTGTGTATAGAACAATGTCTTTGTTAGCAGGATTTACTAGCTTGGACTCTGTGCTGATGAGAGCAGCTGTATCTTCTGGACACAAACTGGCTTTGAAATCGGTATACTGGCAGTATAAAATTCTTTTGACCTACAGAGATTAATGGGTAATATTGACATCAGAAGTGCTGAATTACTAAACAAAGCTACAGCTTGCTTACATAAGGGAACTGTGTCCAAATCTTTCTTCCTGTGGTGAATGTTATGTTTTGGAACATAGTGTTGTTGTGTGGTAATCTGTAGTTCTTGCACTGTCAGCATTACATTTGGTGCATAACTGAGAATATTTTATTGTGGAGGAGGGAGAGAAGAAGAAATCTAATTTGGAATTTACCAGACTCCTGAATGGTGATATCTCATTAGAGCTTTAAACTAGACTGACATGTGTAATCTTCCTATGCAGTGGTATGTCTGGGTCTAAACAAGAAAGGCTCTCTAGGCTGTAAGTCTAGTAGTATGCTTTTTCTAGTTTAAGCACAGCTTCTACCAAAAGAAGTACTTGTCTTATTATAACTTTTCCTTACTATGCTGTCTTAACTGCATACAAGAGAAGGTAGCTTCATGAGCAAAAACGTAATTTTGCTGGCCTAACTGAATTTTTAGTATTCCTAACTAGCAAAAGTATCCTAACAGGAGTTTCTGAAGTGTGGTGGCTCAATGTGTTGTGTAAGCAGAAGGCTTTTGTCTCGCTCATATCCGCCTTCCCACACACACTGGAGATCTATATCAGTGAAATAGTTATGACATGGTGAAGTGTTGTTTGGTATTTGAAATGCATAGCACTACAATAGAAATAACTGAAATCTCAGATTGTCTCAGGCTTTCCGCAAAATTTGATGGATACTGCTGAGATTTTTTCTTTCTTAGCAGTTTTTCAGCATTTCTGTCCTTTTCCACCTTCCCAACTCTGTAAAAATACACACAAAACCCCCGAAATATGACATCAAACCTAGAAGGAAACCCAAAAGCTAAATATTTGTGGGAAACAGGTAGTTTTATGTTCCTCTTAGCCTTTGAGCCCTGCCTGGAACTCCTGAAATCATGAAACGTTCCTATGAGGCTGGCTTTT